CAGAATTTTCAAATTTAAATTATGCCATTCGTTTGTGCTACGTTTGTACTGGATTGTGCCCGAGTTTCATCGTTTGTGCTACAACCCTTCAGGATTTATAAGGGATTTTTTGTGGGGGTGCTGGCGAAACGATTGCACCCCCACCTCAGAATTAGGTTAGGTCAAATTTAAATTATGCCATTCGTTTGTGCTACGTTTGTGCTGGATTGTGCCCGAGTTTCATCGCTTGTGCTGCAATCCTTCGGGAGTTATAAGGGATTTTTTGTGAGGTCATAACGCACCCCAAATTCAAAATTTTGGAACTCCAAATGAGCCATTTTATGTTGACACACTACCATTAACAATTATTAATCCAAATCAGTCTCGTTGGTTTTGACATTGTTAGTGATTATTTGTACTCTTTTTTCCATCGTTATTGCTTTACTCGTTATTCGTAAAAAAGTTTTTAATCTTTTTTATAAGTAGGTGCTCTGGAAATCCTAAAATGAGTACAGCCCCTAGAGTTTTGTCGGAAACTGTTTGTTGTTAATAGGTAAATGTTCTGTATGAGTCTTTTGATTATTTCTCGTAGTTTTTAGATTCAAATTTAACTTTACTCTAGAAGTTTGATTTTTGTAATATTTACGTAAATCAGCGATTGGTAACCCGCAGCCGGTGAAGCAATTTTTCATTACCCACGCGTTAATTTTTGTTCAATAATATTTTTCATATAATTTTTAGTATTAATTAATTCTTTTGGCTTTATAAATAAAAACTAGTCTAATCGTTAATACTTAATGTTTATACTATATAGTTAATTTACAAGTGGAGGTCATTGAACTTCAAAATAACAAAGTTTTAAACAATTTTTTTTTGAGACGCAATTCGCTTGCTTCAATTTTATAGTTGTCTTCATGTATGTCTACATTTCCGGGAATCAGACAATTGGCACAAAAACTTATAGTGACGTTTGCAAGTACATATGTATGTAAGCAGACATTTTCTATTGGGAAGTACAGAAAAAATAAGCACTCCTCAAGCCTTAGTTATAAATATTAGTTATAATATTATTTTGAGAATTTCGCTATTAACCTAATCATTTTGATAATCTCAACAAAAATATATTATCTTGTTTATCAATGACATTTTTTTTATTACATTATTCATTAAAAGTCAAGTTAAACGTGATAAACATTACGGAATGCTGTAAACCTATATTATTATAATAATAAGATAGTTTACAAAGACGGCCTTTATAAAATAAATTATAAAAAAGAATTTAAGGAATAATATATGTTCGACATTAGATTATTATAAGTACAACAGTCACAGTTTCACGTCTGTCAAATGTAACTGACAACCAATACTTAATTAATATACGTACATAAGTACATTTCAAATGTACGTTATATGATAATATTTCGTATCAGTTGGCCAGGTAGCTAGACTATTGTTATGCATTACTACTTGTGAGAATGCAATAGGTAGATACAGCCATACTTATTGGTATGGATAAAGAATATAGTTACGTACATACCAAAAAATATTGATAAACATTAAACCAATATTAACTACAAAAAAAAATATACTTTTTATACAATAGTTAATACGTAGGTAGTTCATAATAACACCTACGCCTAAAAAAAATGTCAAAAACTTAATACAACTCACATAAAATGAATATATTATAATGATACCAATCATGATCAACGATCAACGCAAAATAAAAACCTATTTCATATTATTTACTATTCAGTATTCTATAAATTCTTATCTGATAATTAAAATTAAATTTCTTGTAATATGGTAGATAATAAAAATAATATCAATATGACAACCATTAATAATTGATTAATTTTATCCGAAATAGCAAAATTCTCAAAGTAATATCAGATAGAGGAAATATTTATTATCTATATTGTCTGGAACATAAGATATAACTAATATCAATAATACAATTATAGGTACATACAAATAATAATTATATTTACTGAAATAAATTCAAATTGTAAAATATTTATTGCAAACGAATAGCATAATTTAAATTCAAAATTTCTGGTGGTGGAGTCGTTAATTATATTAATTATTATTGATTATTAACAAATATAACTATTATGTAACATAGAAAACATAATTATGTTTAACAAAATATATTTAAATATGTAACATCTTTAAACAGTTGTACAAGTGTTTCTGTAAATAAGTATCTTGTAATTTGTAACTACACAAGTATGCTAAGGTAGTTACAAAAATAACAATATAACTTAATATTTAATTTATTGAAGTCAATATTTATTACTATTTACTACACGACTTTTAAAATACTTACTTAAATCTCTATCCATATATTGAGAAGTGATGGGTAATAAATAAAAATCAAACCTATAAACCTAAAGAAATCAGGTCAATAACTGCTTTGTTAAATTTTAAACTCTATTTATTTTACATTTTTTTTTTTTTTTTTGTAATTTTTGGTTTTTAATTTTAACATTCAACGGTTAAAGATACAGATTATTTTGTAAAAAGAAATATTATCTATTGGCGCCATTTAGTTATATATCGTAGTATATGTTCACAATAATTACGATTACTTGTAACCTTTTTAACTAAGTAAGTCATATTTTTTTTCAATTTTTCATCAAGGGCCACCATTAACAAAAAAAAAAATTACATACAATATAATATTATATAACAATTTTATTGCTATTACATTTTATCGTTTTACGTGGAAATATGAGTAAAAAAAGATACAAATTCTACTAGAAAAAATTTTATTGAATAAAAAATTGTAAATTTGTAAATTATGCGATTTCTGTGCTTGCAGTTCATTAGTTAATTTTTCGATATCAGCTAGCTTGAAAACTTGTTGTTAACTCGTAATACAGCGTGTAAGCATTTATAACTAAGGCTTGAGGAGTGCTTATTTTTTCTGTACTTCCCAATAGAAAATGTCTGCTTACATACATATGTACTTGCAAACGTCACTATAAGTTTTTGTGCCAATTGTCTGATTCCCGGAAATGTAGACATACATGAAGACAACTATAAAATTGAAGCAAGCGAATTGCGTCTCAAAAAAAAAATTGTTTAAAACTTTGTTATTTTGAAGTTCAATGACCTCCACTTGTAAATTAACTATATAGTATAAACATTAAGTATTAACGATTAGACTAGTTTTTATTTATAAAGCCAAAAGAATT